GAGATCTTAGTAGATGGGGCCGGCGCGCAGGCTTTGTTGAAGACTTAATCGTAAGACTTCGCTCAAAATCGCTTATGTCAGGCACCATGTTTAAGCACCACACTGGTTGTGGCCTGTCTAACAGAGGTAGTGCTTGACGATGGTGGTGTAACAATGCTTGTTTTGTAATGAACATCTCTACGATTTTTGGAACTCATCATGCGAGGCTGTGACTTGCCACAAGGCTCCTTCATGAACAATAAAAACGCTTTGCGAAACCTTTTGAAAAAGGAGAGAGTAAAATGCGTTTTAGAATCTCATTAAATTTACAGAACTCATACCACTTAGAAATAGTGCATGTAATTGTAAATAGCCAACTGGTTGGATCCTGCCAGTTGGGGTTTTCAAACCTGTTGTGTTATATTTGGGGTTTTTTTTCTACGTGTTTTAGTGGAGTGCTATGCACCAGATGGATAAGCTTTGTGCACTTTTCACTATGAACAAACCTTTAACCTTTTTTAACGCTAAAAATAATACGTGGTGGGCAGCTATCAGGATGCTAGAAAGTCGTCTCTGTTCAGGGAGAGTGAAGCTTGGGGATTTTTGAAGAGAACAAAAGTAGTCAGGTTCTCAGGTAATCTACTAAAGCATTTAAAAATGCTTAGTAGATTTTCGGTAAGTATTATTTTGATAAGAAAAAGAACGATGTGTTGGTGGAAAATAAGCGACACTGGGATATAACGCGCCATGTAAAAATATGGTTTGCCATCGCGGCTCATTTCAAATCACTGGTCAAGAGCGAGCAAGCCCATGTGAAACTACTTCACTATCGGCAAACTCGTCAGTTCACAATGGACGAAATACCTAATAGACAAGCCATTTTCTTGTTCATGTAGAGACTGCCTATTGCACCAATCCCTTCCCGAACTAACCCTTTCAAGGCTAGAGTTTTGGGACTGCAAGCACAAACACGAGCCTAGGGGGTGAAGCCATATTAGAATACGCCCCCCACGGAATAAAGATGACAGAGAAGGTTTGATTGGATTATCAGTTTTTATTGATTTTCAATACTAAGCTGCTAGAATTGCCACAAGTCCTCTGCGTGAACGCTCGCAAAGCGAAAGAAAGTCCGTTTCCCGACTGACCAACTAGCCAGCCGGAAACCGGAAACGGACTTAAAGAAAATCTCGCAGGCGCCTTCAAAATTAGAAACACCTCACGGCTTTAGAAATGGATTTCCGTCCATCAAACCACAAAAACAGAAGGGTGTGAGATGATGGGCGGGGGGGGGGGAGGATACAAGTGTCAGTTGGCAGCTAACCCCTTGATGACCCGCAAACAGTGCCGCCTAGCGGCAAACTGAAGACGTTGAATCGTTTGACGGAAATTCTCATAGTAGTGAACATGACTTATAAGTAAACTGAACAAATAATTCTTGGTTTGCACATGACGTCACCAAAAATCAAACTAAGAAACTATTGATTCTTCTGAGTTTCTACTGTCACCAGGTATTACAGCACCTCAACAAATTACATAAACAAATTTTTGGTTCGGAAAGGTTCTTCTTTTTGCGAGAGAGGACGCTTGAATTTCCAGGCTTTTGCGTGACGGGGGAATTAAGCTGTCGGCCGGGAAAGCTCTTATGTGGGTTAAAAACATTACCGATTTTGGGAGATTTTGCT